GGTTCCTTTCACCGAGTTCATTGTAGCTGCTGACCAACCTTTCAGGGATAAAGTTCTGTTCAGCAAAAACCTGATGTTTCTGACCTCTGGAGTTAAGCAAAACCTTTCATGAATTCCACATAAACCAAAGAGTATGACTTGGCATCTACAGACATTCCTGGGAAAAAATAAGGCAGCTAAGGAGCTGTGAATGCTCCTATTTTTCTGCATTTGGCATCAGCTCTAAACGTTAATTATATTTTAAGTGTTATTGCTGATCGTTTCTGCATAAACACGCAGTTAACTTGTGTTTATCTTGAAGCCTGATACTGCCTCCTCTGACCAGCTGAGAAAGCTGCCAAGGCACAGAGAAATTTCCAGTTTTCCATGTAAAACCCAGCACAGCCAAAGCTGGGAAACCCCACTGAAATGACCCTGGTGTGGCAGCAGGCACAGAGGTCCCTGCAGCTGCACCACCCCCTTCCCAGTGCCACGAAAAGCCTCCCATCAGGAGTTTACCCTCAGCTGTTTCAGGGTTTATTTTGCCCCTTCACAGCAACTCTGCAGCAGAAATTTAGGTCACAATCCCTTCCAGGGTACACGTACATGGGCACTTACTTAAAGCTCAAGGAAATTAATTAAAAGCTCCTCACTGACTTCAATGTGCATTGAATCAGGACCTGGATGAGTTCAGAGGCAAAACAATTACACTTTAATTAAACATCTTCACCTTCCTGTGAAGTAGTCAACTCATTTTATAGAAGGATAAACTGAGTCAGAAGGTTTCAGAGCTTGGTTGTGGTCATAAACAGAGTGGATTGCTTAAGTTGCTTCCACACTTGTGAGCTGCCCTTGGAACGCAGAGAAAATGGACCTGCTGAAAAACCAAATCAACTCCTGGGCTGTGCATCTGCAGGAAATAAATCAGAACATCCTGAGACCAGTGGAATGGTTGTACAGATCCATTGGTTCCATCTCTGTTCCCCAATTAGGAGCTAATTTAGTCAGTCACAGGAATCCCAATAATGCAACAAGTTGAAATTATTAGGGTTTTTTTTTCATGGTAGTTTATCTTCAGCTGAGAATCTCAGAATTTCAGGCTGGTTTCTTTTGGTTTGTTTTTAAAATAGCATTAATAATTACATCTTTTTTTTTTTTTTAAAAGACTAGGCCTGGCAGATTTGATAGTCTGTAAAACCTTGGAAGTACTTACTGAAAAGCAAGAAGAATGACCACACTCTCTGAATTCAGGCTGACATTTAAGCCACACATAAGCTCTGTAACGTTCTTTGACATCACCAGGAGCAACAACCAGAAACAAAAATTAGCTTCCCTTGCTTTTTTTGAGGATTTGTTACATAATGCTTCCCCACCACTCAGGCTGAAAATAAATCCTAGAGTCAGGAGAGCATCCTCAAGTACCCACTGATGGGTTTTGGTTATTTTGCTGATCTTTGGTTGGGTCTCACCTACAGTTTTGCCCATCCTGTCAATGGGAACTCATGGACAGGTTCCTCCAAGGGAAAATGATCCGTGAGTGTTCCCCACTCTCTGAGATAAAACAGTGAACCAAGTGGTGTGGGTGGGTTTTTTTATTAAGAGAAATTAAGTTAGTTGGTAGAAAGATTAAAGCACATTTAAAACCTATTTAAGTGTCATTTCTCCCTCGTGCTGACAAGCCAGACCCTGGACTGCCAACATGGCTTAGGAGGTGGAGTAGGTGGCAAAATGTTTTCATTCCAGTAATTTACATCTTTGGTGCACATCACCATCGAAACTGGGATTATTCACACATTTGTACACATGCAGTAGCTTTACTGGAATTAAATTAATGGATACTAATTACTTTTCCAGCAAATCAGAACTCTCAAATGGAACAACAACAACAAAATCTCTAATATCTGTGACGCAGAGTTATTTGAAAAGAATCTTTTTAAAGGAATTATGAATGTGACTCATGTATGGTTTCTGGTTATCTGGTTTAACATGGGAGACAAAAAACCTGATACCCACGTACTTTCAGTGAGAATCTTACACAACGTGACTGACTTCAGTCAGTCTGCTGCAAAAAAGGAGCAGGACTAAGTGGCTTTTTAAAACTGTTGAACGCTATGATTTCTTGACACCTTTCCTGTGACAAATCAAGGTTTGTTTTGGGGTGAATAGCCCACCACACTGTCCCAGAAGTACCACACTGATGGTTTAAATCAAGAACATGACTGACCAGCTTTACCACCGTGACCATTAACACACCTGGAAATGCATCAACAAAGCCATTTACCCTCACTGTCTGAACACTGAATTATAAGCACCTTCTAGCTCTAACACTTCTGCCAGCTCCCAGAATATAAACAACTGGCATATTCATTAGGACTGCAGCTTTTCCCATCCCTTCTGCACTGCACACCCCATGGTGTGGTGTAGCTGTTAACAGCTGCCTCTGGCCCTGCTGCATTTCAGCAGGAAACCCAATCTGATGACAGCTTGCAATAAAAAGAAATACAGCTTTGCCTCTGCATGTAGAGAAATATTTCTGATACCCAATCCTCCTTTTTGGGAAAAACCAACCAACCAACCAAACAAAAAAACTCTCCAGGAAGTTTTTCCCAGCAAACCCAAGAGCAGCCTCCAAAATCCCCGTTGCCTCTCTGGGTGCATTTTTGATGCTTCAAACTAGGTCAGATGCTCAGGAGGGATGCTTTGTAGTCAACAACCAACGTAGGAATTGAAATACTTAGTAAAAATCATAAATGTTTATGCTGGTTACAGATGACAAACGTTTTGGAGGGGGGGAAAAAGCTCATATTAAACATGTATAAATAGATTTCTTTCTCCCAAGTTGTTTCCTAGGCAAAGCATCAACCTTGAACAGCTCCACCCCATCAAACACATTCAGGTGTTCCCTCTGTTTGCCCACATGCAACTGCAGGGTGATTTTTTCATTTTTGGCAACAGACACCACAGTCCATGTCAGCAATTACAAAATCCAGGTTTTGTTTCCGCTCACTTCTGGTTTTGTTTAGAAAACACCACAAGTTGTTTTGGAAACGTCTCTCTCCTCTCTCACAAAGAGAAATACTCTTAAAACTGTGGATGGGGGAAGGAGGGAAAAGGCAGGGAGTACAAATCGATACAGCTGCAGATTTCCTGTAAAACTGGGACTCACAGCTTGCTTTCTGTGCAGCCCCAACACTCATCACGATGATGTTCTGTGTCCAGTGAGATTTATGAGCATCAACTAATTCTTGTTAACAGACAGAAGCTTCAGTCCACGTGCTGAGAGCCCTCCCTGCCCACGCCCTGCAGTGCCCGTGCAGCACACACAGCTCCATCAGGGCAGTCACAGCTGGGCTGGATCACACATGGATTTATTGCCAGGACTCCTGGCAGGCTCTGGGATCATTGCCCTGGTGAAGATTTCACTGCCACTTGGACACCAGAAAGAATCCTGAAAGCACTGCTGTGTCCTACACAACTTCTCCGTAACTTGTTGCGATGCTTAAAATGAGCTAAAAAGAGAAACCTGCTTTGAAACAACTCTGGGGCCAAAAGTTACTTCCCAGTTAATTGTCCAAAGTGCCCATTTGTTAAATTCTACACCCTTCTGTGCACAGAATGCACCCCAACAACTAAGAGAGCACACAAATCCACTACCAACAACTCTACATGACCCTGAGGGAGCTGCCAGTGTCTACCAAGATGCCAGAGATACAATAACTGATGACGCTTTTTCAGCTAAGGCAAAGTAAAGGAACCCCATCTCTGAATTACACCTGTCCCCATTTTCCAGCTGAATGTCTGTCAAGGCAAAAGTAGCTTTCAGACTGGCAAGAAAATAAGCCTGTATTTTTAGAAGTAGTACTTTAGATGTAGCTTTATGTACAACCCCTCACCTTGAATACCTGTACTTTCAAAATAAACCCCCCTGAAGTACATGTTTAGCCTCGTTTTTCACCATTTTCTCCTTCAGCAGCTATTTCACATCACTCATGAGCTCCAGAAATACCAAGGGCAAAAGAAGTTGAAAGCCTGCATGTTCAGCAGCCATAAAAAACTAAATATAGTAAGATTTTGTAAATGTATTGAAAATTATATTCTTAAATACTCACTCAACATGCCTCTCACCATACTGCAGCCAGCTCACACCACAGCACTGAACAAGCACACCTAACCTGCCTCCAAAGTCTGCTGGACTTTGGTGCTTTGGTTTGTTTTCAAATCCCCACATCTGCAGAATGTCTCCCAGCCATCTCACAGAGCATCAAAGCCCATCCTGCTCAACGTGCCAAGATGAGGAATGGACAAATAAACGATGATATACAACAGAGCAAAACAGTCTCTTCTTGAAGACAAGGCCAATGTGAGTCTAAAAGGCAAATGTGCCCTGATGAAGCACATCTGGCTGCCGAGCAGAAAGGAGGATCATCTCTCATCTGTGCCCTGGAGCGATAATGCACTCTGATCCGGGCAGTGATGCTGTCCCTCCTCACGAACCTCCCCGACACACACACACAGAACCGCACCGTGCCAACAAACCCTGCCCAGCCAGGCTCAAAGTTACGGCGTGCTGCCTCGGAGGCTCTGGCAACACGATTTTTAGCCGGGGCAGGAATTACCCGCGAGGGAAGCGGTGTCCGAGAGGCGTTTTCCCACGGAGGGCCGGGCTGCCGAGGGCACCGCGGGCGGAGGGGGCTGCACTCCCGGAGCGGCTCTACCCGGGAATGGCTTCACCTGCCACAGCACTGCAGGCCACGGCCGGGGTGGGACACGCTGGGACCGGCAGCCCCGCCACGCCAGGGATGATGCCACACAACCAGAGGCACCTCCCGTACCTGCGCCGCGGGGCCACGGCCTGGCAGGGGCCGGGCAGGGCAGGGCAGGGCAGGGCAGGGCGAGAGGAGCCGGAGCCGGCCCCGGCGGGGCGGCCGCGGGCAGCGGGGAGGCCCCGGGCCGGCGGAGCGGAGCCCCCGGGCCGGGCGGGTGCCTTTGTTCGGGCGGCGCACAAAGGGCACGGCGCTCACCTGGTGCGGGGCCGGGCGGCCCCGGCGCTGAGGCGGCTCAGGCGGCTCGGGCGGCGGGCGCTGGGCACGGGCGGGCGAGGGGAGCGGAGCCGAGCGGAGCCGAGCCGAGCCTCCTCCTCCTCCGCCGTGACTCACCGCGGCGGCCCGAGGGAGGTGCCTGGGCGGCTCCGGGGGAGGGACCCGGCGCGTCCCGGCGCCCAGGGCAGCGGCGGCGCCGCAGGCAGCAGCCGAGAGCCGGCCGGGAGGAAGGGGCGGGGACGGCGGGGAAGGGCCGGGGAAGGGGCGGGCAGGGCCGGGGAAGGGGCGCGACCACAGGAGCCCCTCCGGGGGCTCGGCTCGCCCGACCCCGCCCCGCGATCAGCGGGCGCCGCTCCGGGACAGAGCCCCTCGCTGGGGCTGGGGGCACTGCCGGGGTGGGCACGGGCTCACCTTGGGGAACATCCTCGGGGTGGCCCGCTGGGATGAGGCGCTGCCCAGCCTGCCCCAGCCCTGCTCTCCCCTCCCGGTCCCGGCCAGAGGGCCCGGCGATGTTAGATAAGTCAGCCGAGGCGTGTGGGAGAGATCGCAGCTACGTTTGGACAGGCTGCTGCTCGATAGCACTGTGCTAAGAAAGTTAAAGACGCTGCAAAATTCGGTACAGCTTAACTAAAGCTAATTCAGGCAAATACAGAAAACGCCGGCCTCCGACTAGAACTAGCGCTCAAAAATAAAGAATCGCCATTTGGTCACTGAAGCACTCAAAAATAAGGCGATCCTTCACCCAGCTAGACTGAAGCAGAGTAAAACCCCAGTGAACACAGAGAGGGATTAATTAAACATAATAATAATAAAAAAACCCCAGATAACAGAAGCCACCAAAGGTTCCTCACCTGCACTGTGGTTTCCCACTAGGTTAACAGTTACTCTGCTTCCCTACAGTGTGCACTGGTGGGGCCAGAAAGGTAAGTACAAAATTCCTGGAGATAAAGATGCTTTGTGTACCAAGTGTTACTTAGTAAGATGCATCTGTTTTCTACTCGGTATTTAACTTAATTGCATAAAAATAGTCACAGTAATGAAATAGGTGGCACTTCCTTTAACAGCTTGCTACTTAATGACATCAAAGCCCGATGCCACTGAAATCCAAACCCCACTGCCAGCTAATGAAGGGCTTAACATGAAAGCCTCTGCAAAGAGCAAACCCAAGCTGCTGACAGGAACAGGAATGGTGCAAATGTGCTGGGATCTGAGATCACTGGCACATACCCACAGCACAGCAGGCAGTAATGATTATTAATTATTTAAGAAAAGAACATAAGAGCTCCAGCATAAGCTGAAAAAAATATGCAGAAGCATTGCTCTGGGATCCTCCAGTTGGATTACTGTTAATTAGCACAGTACATGAGTCTGAGGGAAAGATCTAAAAGCATCTTATGCTGGTAGGAGCGTATAATTAAACCATCATTTGCATCTTTGCAAGAGTATGAATTTCCTTACTGATAACATCATGGCACAACACCATCTTATGAGTAAGGACTGTCTAGCTCCCCACTTCCAATTCAGCTGGCTGACTGTACAGCAGTGCAATGCAATCCTACACAGCATCCACTTAACATCCTGCCTTTATTTAGAAAGGGGTTCAGCAGGGAGGGACACCACAAGGCTTCCTCTACCCTTGGGAGGGGTTTAGATTTCCTTTCTTAGAACTGAGCTCCTGCCCCACCTCAGCTTGTTCCCCTCCAGCTTACCGAGGTGTTGGGCTACCAAGCAAGGTGACATCTTGCCAGGAGTCACTTGTATCATCACAGGACAGGACAGATGCTCAAGAGGCCTCTTAACTCTGCTAGTTCTGCAACACATTCAGTAGAATGTTGTTCATGTCTCCTGGGACTGCACAGACCTTCCCAAGGCAAACACAAGATAGAAAGCCGCACTTGATAAATCCGTTACCTCACCCATCCCCACCCCGCTTGCCCCGACCACATTCCCTCAGCAGGGGAATGTTAGGAAGATTAATTATCTAAAGGTTAAATCTTTCTAACATTTTTACAATTACTGTGTAAAGGCTCGATATTATTTTACAAAACTCTCTCAGATTAAATGGATTTTTCCTTTGAATCACTCCTAATCTCTCGTTTAATGAGGCTGCTGTTTGTTCTAGTAAGCCAAAACTCCATGAAACCTTCTCTGAATCCCTGCCTGACTTAGAAAATTCTCCTAACTCACCCTGTCCTTCCTGATCTCCAGTACTTTCTTCATCAGCTCTGAAAATCATTTAGGATTCCTTCACAGCCCAGCTGCTTCCACCTCCAAGTCCCTCTGTACTTGTTGGCATCTCCCTCTCATTACGGGCTTCCAGCAGCATCTGCAGACATAGGCCCTGCTTTCATTATCCCTGATCCAACCACACACAACAAGGAAAACTCCTCTCCAAGATGTCTGTGGTACCCAATGAGGGACTTGGTTTTAGCCTGGAATCTCTTTTTCTTTTGTTAATCTCTTACATTTCAGATTTAGTCTGACAATCCCCATCCATCCAAATCAAGCTCTGCTGCAGCAACGTTGCAGTGTTTCCTCAGAATTAAATGCAATTCAACCATTCAACCCTGTGTACTTGGGACACCGAGAAATGGTGGAGGGCCCAGCAGTCAGGTGAACTTTCCATGACTAGGGGCAAACAAAACTTGTGTAGGATAGAGAGATTATACTAAAAAAAAAAAAAAAAGGTTCAGCTGCCTTAGTTCCAATATTTAATGATCCTACATGGGCTGTGCAGTGAGGAGGCAGGCAGAGAGATTTTCAGGGCATGAATAAAAAAGCCCTTTGCTGCAAGAAAGGCTTTGACAATCATCTTTTTGTTAATCCAGGTTTAGTTTGTGTGGCAAGAAACCTTCTCAGCTGTGTATTTTATTCAAACCCAGCAGCGGTCCCAGGTTAAAATTTGGTATTTACAAAGTTGCAAAACACACCCTTTTACAATAACTTAACTTCCAACTCCACCTTATAAGGATAAAGAAGAGCTGTTTACCCAGACATCACACCTCTGTCCACGGGATCTGCAGGTGGATCTGATGGTTTCCAGCACGTCTCAATTATTACTGACCCAGTTTTGGAGGCATGTTCAAAACATCATCCTAAACATTATCAAGCAGCAAACTATTATGATAGTGAGATTAAAAAAAAAAAAAAAAGTCTCATGGTTAGTACTTGTTTAAATGAGAAATCTGCTATTAAATACAACATTTACACATGAGTGTGTTAAATTACAGCAGCTGTTTTGGTGCATGATACAGCAGTGCTGTATCCACCAACCTTGTGCCTGTATTTCCTCTTTTGAGACCTTATTTTAGAGACCACTTATTCTGAAAGGTTTTTATTTGTCCTCTCAGGGGGTCTCAGGTGCTTTGGGCCACCCTCCCAGGTGCTCTGAACATCAGCAGCTCCTGTTTCACTGGGGAGTTTAAAAGCCATAGTAGAAAAATCTTGGGCAACATCACCTCCAGTAATTCTCCCCTCACCCTCACAGGCATAAACTCCTTTTAAGTGAAGTTAAAAAACCCTACAACCTCATAGCAGGACAAGGTGTCACATTTTCCACGACTCCTCAAGAAAAACTCCAATATGAGCAGTTGCCATTCCTCTCCTGTGGGCAGACAGAATTTAAATAAGAGTTAAATCCTTCCCCAGAACTCAGGGAGGATAATTTTAAAATGATGGAGGTGGGGAAACTCAAAAGGTGCCCACAGGCTGAGTTCTATTTCTTTACACTGTAAATATCGTTCTTGTCCTTACACAGGGAGGGAATTGCCATACTGGAAACAAAACCAAGTGGTTCAGTGGGAATTTGCCTCCCATTTCAACCACCAATGACACAGCCTTGGCTGCCTGGGCAGGAGGGGATCCTTAACACAGAGGTCTCCATCAAAATGGATTTGACTTTTACAGGCAAGGTAACACGAGGAGCTAAGGGATCTCTTAAAAAATCTTGTATTTTTCCTTCAAGACAAAGATAACTTGCTACTTTTCCATTCAAGATCAAAGGAGGGAAATAATACAAGGAGACAAAGACAGAAGAAAGAGAGACAGAGCATTTGAAGCTTCAATTTTCTCTCCAACGCTTTTCCTTTCAGATCAGAACAATCACCGAATTCACTCTATAGAAAAAGAAGATTAAAAAAGGGAGGTTACATATGGCCAAAAAAAAAAAAAAGGGGGGGGGGGCTCTGGGAACTTTGCTGATGTGTTTAAAGCTACTGTACTTTACAATTCCTGCTTCAGAAGTAAAATGATAAACAAAAAACAAAGCACATTTTAATCTTCAAAGCCGTGTGTGATCAATAACAACTTCACAGCACTCGATATTCAAGGACCATAATCTGTATTTTACTCCAGGAAAGATGTGTACAGAATGAGTGATCTGCCAGGGCCTAACACTGAACTGGGGATGGAACTCACACATCACAAGCTTGTTTGTTAAACAACAAATCCATGCTTTCATTTAGCAGTTGTGTCTTTTGTTACCAGTTTTTATTTCAGCAAATGATTATGATAATAAATAAATCATGGATTTTTGTTTCCTCCCCCAACTCCTGCAGGAACATTTCAGACAGTGGCTGGAGGTACATCCCAGGGTTATTCAGCAAAACATTTAGCACAACACACCAATTAACTTACTGCACCTCTGAAATCCATCTAACACTTCAAGCAGGCCACTAAACTATTTGTGAGGGTCGACACACGAACAGCTTCACACCAGCAACTGCTTCCTTTGTAAATCACCTTTCTGGTCAGGGCCTCCTGCAGGACACAGCCAGTCTCTGTGTCACAGCTCTCATTTCTCACCCTGCACAGCTTTTGAGGAGGGAATTCTGCCCCAGCCACTGAATCTTCCATATTGGTCACTGATCTCAGTCCCCACCTTTGTCCACCGAAATCACCAGAGAACTCTCCAGGAGCAGAAGCAGCACAACGTTGAAAAGATGTTCAGCCAAGGATGAATTTAATAGGAATGTTACAACTGCCTGCAGTGCAGAAACTTTGCAAAAATCCTGGAATATTTACAAATCATTTAAAAAAAAAAAAAGTTTCTCCTGGAAACAAACACCTCTCAAAGGAAGAGGAGGAAGATTTCCATAGCACTGTAAACTTGATCCTGGAGTGCTGAGAGATTTAATTTACATCCTAATGCTGTGAGCAGGCTGGGGGGTGGGGGAGGGAGTTCCTTAGCACCAGTAATGAGCAGAGAGGAAGAGAAGGCAGCTCCGGTCCCCACGGGCTGTTTTGTTTGCAATAATTTCAGACGGTCTAATAATGCCTTTTAATAAGCTGCTCTCAGCTCTGGAGCTGCAAGCAGCCTTTGTCAGAGGACACAATACTGCCCCAGACAGCAAAATGGTTCTGACAGAACGGACAAAAGGCCCAGTCTAAATAAAGGCTTCTTAAAAAAAGGGAGGAAAGAAGTTCCACCAGTGGAACACAGAAATTATGCTGTCTGTACCATGTGCCCTCCCATTTCTGAAATGCTGCATTTCCAAAAGGTATCTACTAAAGCAAAATACAGTTAACAACAAATTTTCTATTTTACTCCTCCTGGTTTACACTTAGACAAACTTGCTTATTTTTAGAGTATTTATGCCCTATAAGTGCTCCTCAGTCTCCAAGTGACTGCTATGGGGTACTGAGATTCCCACTGCAACAAGCTGTCCCAATTTAACACTATTTCCACTCACTCCATTTAATGGCAGTTCCCACTGAAGCTCATTTCTAGCTATACAAGTCACAGACATCTATTATATGACAGGCAAAACACCACGTGGCAAAACTCACTCCATTAAACACTGACAAATACAGGGCCAAAACCAGCCATGCCACCATAAACTGGACCAAACTCACCTGGGTTTAAAAGCACATTTTAGAAACCATTACTAATTCTAAAATAACTCAGTATCATCCTTTTAGTACATTTCCTTCTCCATTTTTCTAATCCCAAGCACTAACAAAATCACATTTTTTCCCCTTGGAATTCTTTTTTTTAAAATTATTTTTTATTTTTTATTATTTTATTATTATCACCCATCCTTTTCTTTCCAGCCACAGACCTACTGTGACATTAAGACATGCCCTTGGTGTGGTTTTGTTGTTGCCAGTATCATTAGTTCAGCACCTGAACATGCACCACGGGTAAGGCAGACCTTAAATGCACATTTCTCGAGCTGAAAAACCTCAGGAAAATCCAGGCTTCCAACCAGCTCTGACAAAATGCAAACAAGCACTCCAATTGAAGTGTGAAGGAGCCCAAACTCAGGGAATGAGACCCCTAGCAGTGATTTTACAAGATACAGTCTGTCAGGAAGTGAAGCCCTGAGTAGTTTCTCCACCCTCTGAGCTAAAGATTCAACAACACGAGATCTGAAATCCTCCTACCCCGAGTTTAGTCCTAAGGGAGGCACAGACCCTCCCCTCTCCACACTGAGCAACACCTGCACTGCTCACACAGCGGGAGCTTTGCCCCCCTTTTAAAAGCTCCTCCTGCTCGCAGGTTATTTCACAGCACCCCTGAAACCCCGGGAAATCAGGGCAGGGTGTGCTTGAGCACCAGGGCTGAGGGGAGAGGTCACAGAACGAGCCATTTCCTATCAGTCCCCTGTCGTTACAAACACGAGGTTAAGCTCCTGCAGGAGCCTCCCCACAGCGCTGCCATTGTCTGCCGGCCCGGGCTGCCTCACAAAGTGCTCATTCATGTGCACGGCAAACAGGCAGCCAGGCCAGCCACCAGCACCCAGGCCCCTCGGGGGTCTTCTGCAAACAGTCTGCAGGAAGATGGCATTCCTAATAAACCAAGTCCATTTTCAAAGCTTCAGTGCTGTCCTAGTACAAAACTACTTAGTAGGGAGTCCAGACAAGAACTAAGACAATGTGAAGAATCACCCAAAAAACCAACTCACCGGGACTGCTCCTGAAAAAGATCTGCTTGCTACAACCACATGCAAAAAGATTTAAGTTTTAATAGTTAGAGAAATACACATTCAGAAAAGTTCAAAACAGCTGATTCTTTCCAAAGACAAACATACCCATGCTTTTGTTTCTAGAGTTCCACTTAGTGTTCAGCCTCAGAGCTTAAGGGGTACAGACACCAAGGTTCCAAAGTGCACTTAAGGCTGTTTAAAACACTTCACATCTTCTGGTTAAGAACCCAGAAGGTTTAGGGTTTGGGTGTTTTTTTGCTTTGCTTCGTTTTTGTTTTTTTTTTTCAACATGTTGGAAATAGAAAAACCAAATGCAGTGTGACAGAAGTCCAGTGCTGTTGATAAGTGGAGAGACACGAGCCCCACACACCTCTTCATTGCTTTGCCTTTTCTACTTCAACACTTGCTAGAGCAAAGACTTTGTCTCCTGAACCTATGAGGGGGGGAGAAAACATTTTCAGTTAAGTGTTAGTAGAAATTGTGGACTTCCTTACGTACAATTTAAATCGAGCAGAACGTTGGAGATCAAAAGAAATCAAACCTACGCTGTGCAAACTACAACACTTGATCTCAACCCATGAGTTTTGAATTCTGTCTTCTCCCCATGCCCTGCTGAGGAGGGGGAATGAGAGGGTGGCTTGGTGGGCACCTGGGGGCCAGCCAAGGGCAACCCAGCACACACAGAGCTCCTCACCCTTTTGAACAAGAGGGTTCTCACCTTGCTGACACTCTCAGCAAGAGCAGTGCTGAAAGCCAGGTCAGAGACACTTTAGCTGCACCCTGACCTAGTCTGGCACGTTCCTGCCAGTCACGGTTCTTTCATCCCAGTTCTAGCTGTAATGCCAGAATGAACTGTTGTGCTGATTTAATGCACTTTACAACTGAACTTTTGATCCTGTCAGTATGTTTAGAGGTGTGACAATCAAAGCAGGAAGCTGCTTTAAAGCTCTATTTTGACAATGTGCCAGTAGTTGCCAAATTCTCTGCATCAAGCAGAGGAAAAGGCTCTCCTGAGGAGAGTCATTAATGCCAAAAAGATGTGTTTAACTGTAAGAGCAGCATCTCTGCTTGAGACAGACCATTCAAGCCTTCAGCTGACGGGCAGCACTTGGCATTTGGTGGGCATTTGGCCCTGGGTTTATCTGCTGTGTTACTTTTTCCTCATGGATAGTGCACCAGAGTTTCCTTGTTAATAAAATGCACATCAGCATTTAAAGGCATGAATCTTTGGTTCATATTTTCTCTTTCACAGGGGAACCAGAGATATTTCTATTAATCAGCGTTCAGTGAGGCAAAGAAATGGGGAGTTATGAGAATGAAAACTTACCAAGGTCAGTGGAGACTCTCTCAAACTGGCTCAGGGCTGTACCAGCATTTGCTGACAAGAACATCTCATCATCCCCAGTGAGCTAAAGCAAAAAAGGCCACAACTGTGTGAACTTCACACCTTGACTGGGCACATTCCCACCATCTACACGAACTATGACAGGTGACAGCAACTGTCCATCAGCATTTAAGTGGCAGTGTTACCTAACATACTAAAACCTACAATGAAGATGAACCTACTTCCCCTGCCACTGGATTTTCCCTGCATGGCTCCTGCCAGCCCGGGCAGGACAGGATGTGCAGTGCCAGCTGTGCCTCCCCGTGCACCACAAGGTCACACTGTACCTGGGCACCTGAACTGGGCAAAGGATGGCAATGCTTTTTTTTATCCATGTGGTCAGTTCAGTGCTGAACTGAGGTCTAAGCTCACCTCCCATCATCTACTGAGGAAAGCCAAACATGCAGTCACTGCCAGCTTTGACCATGCTAAGGGCCAGTGACCTAGAAATGGTTCTCTTCCTTTAAAGTGACATTTGCACATGTATATTTTGCTTTTATGTGTGTGCTCTGATGCCTTGTGACAGATGCCCATAAAATATTTACAGTAATGAAGCAGTAACCTACATTTGGAAGGTTCAGATATTCTAAGTTAAAAGTCACTCATTTAATTAGCCTCAGATACACATCCTTATTAAAGCAAAGCATAAGGGTGTCAAGCTGTTCACGGTGTTTGCATCAGTTTATTTGTTAGAAATAGAAAAGTCAGGTCCAGGCACTCAGGATGGTGCTGGAATGAAGGAAAACACAGGAGTTACCTGATCCAACTACTTAAAACTTGACAGTATTGTGCAGACAAACAGGGAATTTTTACTATCATTGCTCACATCCAGAACAGATGTGGAACTACTGCCCTGGCAAGTCCTCTGTGCAGCAGGTTGCTGATCATTTTAAAAGATTAACAGGTTAGGTCAGAGCCTGGTGAGGTGGCTACATGTGCTGACTCAAGGAACTCATGCCAGGAGGATTAGGTACCTTCATGCATTCAGTTCACAATCTTAACTAGCCTTCTATATGTCTCCAAAACGTGTTTTTTCCCTCTGACAGTCAAGCAATAAAAATGTTCTTTGCTTTGGAATCCACTTGAACTGCAGCTCCTTTAAGTACTGCACTTGATCTTTTCCATTACATTCCTTCATTTCCTAAGGAACCTTAAGCACAGAGATACTCAGCAACTCATTTTCTTCATTTACCAGCCACAAAGAGAAATAACAACTTCTCTTCCTCCCTCTGGTGGCAAACCCAGGGCTTGTTCTGCCACTTATGGATCACTGGGGGCAACAATCCCCTTATCCCTCATCTCTGCAATTCCTTTACCTCACACCAAGAGACAAAGAATATTGTATTATATTGTATTATCAGCAATATAAAAGTAAGTGAAGCTGGATGTGTGTCAAAAGCTTTGGATAGTTCCTGGTAAATAGGTGGGAGCTTTTATAAATATGATCATCTTGTGCCAGCTTGTATGTGATTCATTTAAATGGCCCAAAGAAAGCATTTTAAAGTAGAAACAGCCTTATATAAAAGTACAAAACTATTTGATACATGTTCAGCAGTGAGTGCTTCAGAAAGCCTGGCATTAAAAGGGAAGGACATTTCTATACTACAAAAACAAGTTGCATTTTATTGTTTGCTCATGAAAGTTGTAATTGCTTATTTTAATTATTTCAAACTCCTGATAAATAGATAGACAGAGAGCTCTGTTCACCTGAGCTTCCCCCCAACACCTTACCTTCTCACCAAGCTTCCTGAGGGCAGTCAGGATTTCCACTTTCTGCTGGGTGTACAGGTCTCGTGCCAACTTCCCAACCATCAAGTCTCGGTCCATCTGCACATCAGGGGGGAAAAACAAGTCAAAATACATAATCTTCCCATTATTTCACTCAACACAACAGCACGAGCAATGCAACAGCCTAAAAATATCCTCAGCAAGCACAGACCCACAGCAGGAAGGGACAGAGCTATCTGTGATTTAAAAGATGGCTGTGAGGTTTTTCTGAGTGTTCTGCAAGTACTCTCCACTCCTGACCTCAGCTGACTTGATTTCCACACACTTCAATCTTCTTTCATCAAAGACTGATACTCACTGAAAATTATGGATTCACACATCACTGGCACATGGAGCAATGACGTTTAATTTCACTTTATCTGCATCCTCAGTTCAGTCCAGATGTCTGAGTGCACTCCCCAGCTCTCAGTACAACCCCAAATTATGTGTTTGCAGTTTGCTCACTTCACTCTCAGTGCCAATCTCGTTGTTTGGAAGCAGGAAGATAATTCAAGAAATACACACTGTTACCTCAATAAACATTAAAAACTGAACACATTCTCAAAGAGACCTCCAGCTCTTTATGATGCTGACACACCACGTTTTCCAGCACACTTTCCACACACTGGGTGCTCTCCTTGCAGTCCTTACACACTCAAATCAGTCTGGCTCAAATAAACAGTTTTTGCAGTCAAACAAAAAGCCTTCACCTCTGCCAACCTCGTCCTCAGTTGCCTGGGCTGCTTCTTTGCAAACAGTCTGATCACTTCGGGGGTTTTAAAGGCTTGGCTGATGGCTGCTTGTATTGCCTGCAAGGGAAAGAGCAAGAATGGCCAGGACTGACTCACAATCGACAGCTGAAGACAAGATTAAGGAGGGCTGGAGAGCATCATTAGTACCCCCTGCATTGTTTGATACAGAACTCTCCTTTTCTTGTATAACCATGGAAGTAAGATGAAAAAAAATTACATGACCTTTATGCAGGGCTTGAAGAATCCACTCATTAGTGCAACTACACTAAGGAAGAGCTGTGAAGTTTCTCATTACAGTCCAGGTCTTACTTTCTAATAATTTCCAACACTTTCCTGATATTAGCACAGTTTTCATGCCCACACTGATGATTACAGCTCTTCTAAGGGGAAGCAGAATTGTAAATGATGAGGCAAACACCTCACTGTTATTCAAAATGCTCTGTGGATTATCAAAATTATCATTATTAGATCTCCCCAAAGATAACCAAAGTTATCTTTGGACAAGTCATGATCTCTCTGGAAACAAAATCCTAAAACATAGAGCTTAGAAGGAACAAATTATTGCTCTAATAAAACACTGAAAAGAGAGAAAAGAGATCAGAAGTTTGGAAGTCAGCATAAGATCAATAATATAATATATATACAAAATATATAAATATATAACAATAACTTAAAGTCACACAGTCATTCCTCCAGCCTTTTCATTTGGACTGGAATCTGAAACACAAGTCAGCAAAAGGACCACTGGAAGCGCTGCTTTTGCTTTCTAACAGACAGGCATGAATTGTATTTCTCAGGACATATATTATCCTAGACCTTTTATATTAAATTTCTGATATTTTCTAATATATTTAGTCCCTGCAATTTCCCAGTGTTGTGGTTATAATCTTTCAATATTTTTTCCCTTTTAAACCGAAGAAACCCACGCAAGTTCTTACATGTACACAACTTTTAAACAATAAAAACATCAGTTACATAGATCTAGGTTTCACCCCAAAATTACAATGGATTTATTTTCTGCTTCATCAGCTCCAGGAAAAACATGAACTGTTTTTAGCAGCACATCATCCTCACCAGTTGCATCCCACTGAGCTCGTCCACCAAAGTCATATCTCCAGACATGATCTTCTTCAGGGAGTCGTTGAACTCACTCAGCTGCTCCAGAGTTTCTTTTTTGGTCTCCTCATACTCATCTGCATCCAGCTCCTCTCTACAGAGGACACATTAATTCAGAATTAAAGTTTAAGCTGAGATGTCCCATGGAGAAAAGGGCATGGGGAGTATCAGGGAGCTCCATTCCTCAGGCAGCAATGGATTCAGTCTGACTGAAATTTTATTAGCCCACGGAAAAGTAACACAAAAATCACATGAGTTTGTCTAACTTTTCATTTTATTTGTGTCAAAAAAACCCCAACAAACATCCATAACTACAAGACAAACCAAACCAGACACAAAAGCTATTTGCTAACTGATATTAGAAAAGCCCACAAGGAAATTGAGAGTTGTGTGAACAGGTATGAGAAGCTAAAAAGTCACACTGAAATATAAAGAAACCATTGAGTATTTCTGTCTGCATTTTCATCAGATAACAAATAAAATTATCTTTTCTTAAAATATAATTTTTACTACCTAACATAAACATCCTAATAAAAAAAATATAAAGCCACAAGAAAACACCAAACAAAAAAAACCTACAAGATTTTTGAAAAGTACCACTTTCTTTTGCCAACCACTTCAGAAAATTATTACCATATATGAGAAAAGCAGCTATTTTTATTACCTGCATTCTTCCAGATCTTGAAGCTGCTGCATTAATCTGTCCAACTGCTCCTCCAAGTTTTGTTTTAGTTTGGTGGTCTCTGTTGTTCCTCTTGAAGCCATTTTCTGTTTTCACATGAAAACTTCCAGCTGTTACATGACACTCCTAGGAGAAAGCACATTTTATTGTTTGTATCAACAACTGAAAACCTATTTACAATGCTCCAAGCAGCAAGAAAACCATGCAGTATCTTGCTGATGGAATGTCTAACCACAACACCTGGAGATCCTTGCAGCGTAAACAGAAACGCCAGGCTGTGTGTACGGGATTATCTTGGCAGCAAGAGGCGGTTCACCAGGGCGGTAACTCAGCCCCAGCACATACAACCACAGGAGGGTCAAACCCAGCAGGATTACTGAAATACGGAGGCCCCGCTATGTAAATCAGCAGGTTCGCCTCTCCCAGGGCCGCCCGGAGCGCTGTGTGAGACACCGCGCCTGCAGCTGAGCCACGAACGCTCCGGCAGCACCACGAGGGGAGCGGGGCACGCCACAGGAACCGCGGGCCAGGCGGGAGCGGGCACAGAGCCCGCGGTCAGCGGGGCATCCCCGGTGACGAGGGGCGGCACCACCGACCGGGAAACGCGACCCTCCCGCCGGAAAGCGGCGCCCGGGCCTGCGGGGAGGGCGGCGGGCAGGAGGAGCGGGGCGGCGGAACCCGGCACTGCGCGGGTACCGCCTGTTCCCGAGGCTCCGGCCCGGCTCTCCCTCGCCCGCCCCTCCGCCCGCCCGGCCCCGCTTCCCCTCTCCCCCTGTCCCCTCACCCGGCCAGGCCTCGGCGGGGCGGGCCCGGACCGTCCCCCCGGCGCCGCTTCCGCCGCGCCCGGGCCAATGAGCGCGGGCGGCAACGGGCCCGGAGAGCGCCGGACTGCGGGCACGGCCGCGGGGCCGCGCGGGGAGTGCGGGACGGGGAGGCACCGCGGGCTCCACGCGGTGAGTGCGGGGCGGGGAGGGCACTGCGGGCTCCACGCGGTGAGTGCGGGGCTCCGGGCGGGCACTGCGGGCTCTACGCGGTGAGTGCGGGACGGGGAGGGCACCGCGGGCTCTACGCGGTGAGTGCGGGACGGGGAGGGCACCGCGGGCTCTACGCGGTGAGTGCGGGACGGGGAGGGCACCGCGGGCTCCACGCGGTGAGTGCGGGGCGGGGAGGGCACCGCGGCTCCACGCGGTGAGTGCGGGGCGGGGAGGGCACTGCGGGTTTCACGCGGTGAGTGCGGGGCGGGGAGGGCACTGCGGGCTCCGGGGCCCGCCGGCGCCGGGGGAGGGACTCGCTGGGTCTCGCTGTGCGGGGTCGGAGCCTCCTCCCCACCCAGACCCCCGTGTTGCTGGAGCGTCCAGCGATGCCCACCTGTCGTGGACTTAATATTAGCGGTGGTTCTGTTCTCTGTGGATAGAATGTGATAAATTCTATACAGAATATACGATACAGATGCGTAAAGGGGTTTGAGAAATGTTTGGCTCTGAATTATAAATGAGATCGAGCAAAGCATCCTTACCTGTTTGGTTCCCAGGAAGGTTGGGATCCAGAAGGATCCCAAGAGCTGCTGGCGGTGTACTTTAATGCAAATACTTGTCCAGCCCAGCTAATAGCAGGGCTGCAATCAACACTCACTAAATGCTGGTAGGATTATGTGTAAGCATGATGAGATTATATGTAAGCATCTGTGTAAGGAGTACATCACAGGGCACGTCATTTTTCCATCAGAAGAAGAAGGGGAAATAATCCAGGATGTCCTACACTTCTGGAATACCCAAGTGAAGGCCATTTTACTTTATTTTCCCTTCTTAGGTCTTTGTGGAGAGATTGTACTAATATTTCATTTGCTATTTGGCATAAGACAGCATTAATTATTTTAAGACTGGTCTCAGTTTTATGGAGCTAAACACCTGTGTGCAGATCTGTCTCATCTCTGTATTGGATCCTGTGGTTAAACTGCAGTAATGGGATTTGTGTCAAGCAGTGCCAAACCATGTGCAGTTCATCAAAACTACTGTTATTATACAGCAAGAGCAGGCCTAGTTCCATGTACAGCTCAGGTAGTGGCCGGGCTTTAGTCATGCCTGGTCCTAGTCTGCTCTTCTCTTTGGGATGTGCAAATTGAATGGCTTTTCCCAAAAAGTTGGGGCTAACAGCGCTAGACAAAGGGTGTCAATGCAAATTGGGAGGCTGAGGGAATGTACAAACTATGGAATTCTATTTATTAGAATTCTATTTATACTCTCATTTCTGTGTGGATGTGGAGCTCTGCAAGGTGAGTTTGCGAGGCAGTAATTGCCTCCTTCTGAAAACTGTAAAATTAGCAGCACAGAAAGGGACATTTGACTGACTCTTGAAAAGGCACTGTGTGCTTTCATCTGAAAATTTTCAACTATTTTTGCACTTTTTTAAGGGAAAAAAAAAATCAACCTTTTCGCAGTTTTGCAGCAGGAGTCACTCTGTAGGAAGCGGGGTTTGTGCATTCCAAAGGCCGTTTAACTCCCTTCTCCTGTTCCCATGGTAACTCTCCCAGCCGTGCCCCTGCCAAGGCTGTTCCAAGCGCCACCAGCCCGTCCTCTGCTGAGCCACTCTGCAGTAATAAAGCACATTTTAAAAGTTTGTGAAACTCTTGAAAGCGCAGCAAAGTGCTAACACTTGCAAGAGGTGAAAGCCTTGCGAGAGCTGCTTTGATCCGAGGGCTGTTTGATGTTGGGACACAGCGGCTGTTGCAGGGTTTGGCTGTGACGGTGTCTCAGAGCTGTGAACATCACTCAGCCTCTTTGGAACAGACACTGGATGTGAGGGTGACCTTGTGGGATCTTTTCCGGGGGAGATGTTGCTGTAGAAACAACGGCAGATGATTCCAGACAATCCTCACGGATGTCTCCACAATTCCTGAAGAGCAGCAGCGGGAGAGTGGCCCGTGGCATATGCCTGATTTTGTTTGTTAGGGCCAGGCTAGGGAAAACCATCGTGGCAAGCCAGAATATCCTCAGAGAAGAACACAGAACCAAGAATCTGTGTAGTTTGAGGAGAAATGAAATGATAACTAGTGAAATTTCCCGATTTTCAGCAATTCTTAAGCAGCTTGCTGAAACTGAAGCTCAGAATTGGAACAGTGCTGTTGTACTTCAGAGAAGGGGAAAAAAATCCAGTATTTAATTGGAGCTTTTACTGAACTTGTTTTAATTCACTCTTCTTCTATCACCTGTTCCTACACTTACCACTGAATTTCTGCACCACAAAGCAGACTAATACTTTTCAGGTTCAGTCCAGAGCACTCTCTTCCCTCATACTGAATTATATAAATTACCACCCTTTACATTTTACATTACAGAAAACGTAAATAAATCTTGAAGGAAGAAATGGTAACACTATTCTCCTCCAGAATATTGAATATATTGATTTTGTAGATCTTTCTGGAAAGACTCACTGCAGTTTGGAGAGGCTGCCCTAGGTCTGTTCCTCCCTGTAAGCACTAGAAGGAAGTTACTTAACAAGGAAGTTCCCTGCCCACGTGTCTCGTGGCAGTTGATTGGCACTGGCATCATAAAAAAGGTGCAAAGTTTTAATAAACTTTGTCCTGCAATCAGGACAGATCACCTCTCCATGTGAAGTCTAAAAGCATGAGCTGCTGTTCTTCAGTGGGCAGTACACTGTGCTCTCTAGGCAAGCAGCCTGTTTGAGGTAATTTCATATTTTAATCTCTTAAAAATGCAGTATTCCATGAACAATCACAGGCTAAGTGGTGATGGAAGTGTTCCATTTGATCTTTTGAATTGACATTTTATGTTCTGCTTACTGGCAGCACAAATAAGTAACAAACTCTTGTTTAATCCCATTTCTTGCAGTGGCTGGTACCTGGCACCAACACTGTGCCCTCTGCTCTGGCTGTGAGGAGTGGCTATGGAAGATCCCGACAGGAAGACTGAGGTGGTGCTGCTGGCCTGTGGCTCCTTCAACCCCATCACCAACATGCACCTGAGGCTGTTCGAGCTGGCTAAAGACTATTTCCATGAAACAGGTAGGGTGGGCACTTGTGCCAGTCACGATAGCTTTGATAAGTGGGCACTGAAGTGTTAAGGTGGATATTTTGTGTCTGTGAATGCCTGTCTGACAGAAGCAGATGTTTCTGGAAATCCTAATTAGATATTGAGGTTGGTGTGTGTGGATGTGTCATGCAGAGTTTTAAAGCACAGTTTTAAAGTCAATTTATAGAAATCTATCTTTCTACTATATCTTGCCAACTCTTTCATTGTGCTGCCCTGACAGTGAAAGAAGAGAACTGTACTTTTCCACTGGGCTGGCTGTCAGAGCTGCCATTGCCCTGAATAATGTCATAGTTTAAATACAATGCAGGGGAAGTCACATCTGCTCAACCACTTCTCCTGTTCTTGTGTGGTGTGTTTTTTTTCCCCACAGGAAAATACAAAGTAATCAAGGGCATCATTTCACCGGTGGGTGATGCATACAAGAAGAAAGGTCTGATCAGTGCGAATCACCGAGTGACAATGGCAAAACTGGCTACAAAAAACTCGGATTGGGTGGAAGTTGATGATTGGGAAAGCAGCCAGAGTGAGTGGTTGGAAACACTAAAAGTTTTAAGGTATTCTTCAGCCAAGCTCTAAAAAGTCTCACAACCCTATAGAAGGATAAGCAATGGTGTTAACCTAAGGAGTTAGATAATGGCAGGCTGGCCCCAAATCATGTGAACAGACCCAGTGAATTCACAGGGACTGCTGATATGAGCATTGAAAATGAAAGATTGCCCCATTAGTCCTAAACATGCCAAAAATGAGCCTGGGAACGATTTTTAAGATATGTAATTCCTTAGGCCTTGTTCAGTTTTTGTGCTGAAAAGGTGTCCATGGGGAAGGACAGAGACTGGAACAGGGCACACCCAAGCTGTGTTGCACATCTGTGTGTTTAAAGACTGGCAGGAGAATTGTCTGAAGGAGTATTTTCTGAGTTTTATGTTTTTACTCTTTCAGTTGTTGCTACTTCACTGAGATTCTTATCGTTTAAACAAATTTTTATTAAAATAAACAAATAAACAAACCAACCTTATTGTTGCTTTGAAATCTTTGCACTTTGACCACCATCTGACTGAGCTCTCAAGTCCCTTTTTCAGCAGATCAGCTCTTGGGTGGACTGTCTGTGGAAGTGCTGCAGGAGGAAGTGTGGTAGATCATTTAATAGGCCACACTATCCCTATTTCCTCCTACATCTTTGAAATACCTAAAATACATCTGTTTTGCAGGTACCATCATCAAAAGTTTTTACCTGCTGATGCCACCAACAGTCTGGAGGATGCTGTGCCCTTAACAAAGCTGGGGAGGAAGAGGAAACAGGAACCAAACAGGCACGAACCCGTTAAAAAGAAAAGTCAGAGCCCGGATGTAAAAAGTTAAGTCTGTTTGCGAATTAAATGGTTAATGAGACTTGTTCTTTCAAGAGAATTGCACTGTTTTATGGTTGTGATGCCACTGAGGAAGTTTATCCCCTTAGATCCCACAGCATAAGGCTGTAGATCCTTTCAGTGAAGGGACTTCCAGAACCTTCATTCAGAGAAATCCTGTATTGAGGCTGTTGATTACAAATTAGATACTCATTTTCCATTGTCTCATCTTAACAGAGAGATAGCCCAGAAATCAGATGTCCCTGTCAAGTTAGCTAAAATCTGGTGACCTAAACCAAGCCCTATTTCTCACTTCTTTTCCTTTTTAAGGTGTCCCCCAGGTTAAGCTGCTCTGTGGCAGCGACATGCTGGAATCTTTTGGGATCCCCAACCTGTGGAAGTTGGAGGACATCACCGAAATTGTGGAGAAGCACGGCCTTGTGTGCATCAGCAGGGCCGGGAACAACGCTCAGAAATTCATCTACGAGTCTGATATTTTGTGGAGGCACAAGGACAACATTCACCTGGTGGAGGAATGGATCACAAACGACATTTCCTCCACCAAGATCCGCAGGGCCCTGCGGAGGGGGCAGAGCATCCGCTACCTGGTGCCCGACGTGGTCCGGGCTTACATCGAGAAGAACAACCTGTACAGCCCCGAGAGCGAGGACAGGAATGCTGGGGTGGTCCTGGCTCCCCTACAGAAAAATGCAAGTGACTCCAAGAACTGACAGGCACTGAACAGTAACTCACTGTCTGCTGGGGCAAAAGTATAGCTGGGTACAGGGGAGTGTTTTCTAGGGTTTGGTTCATTTTTTTTCGGTAAATAGTGGGCTAATTCCGTGGCTTTAGCACTTCTGTAGTTGCTGTTGAGGTTTGGTGCACTCAATGATTGGACCTCCACGATCTTTTTCAAGTCCCATAATAAGATTTTCACATTTTAAACATTTTGTCACAGAGTAGAAGAATTCCCACCGGCACATGAGAATTGCAAATGAATAAGCAAAACAAAGGAAAATGTTCGGATTGGTTTGAATTCAAACTGCTCCGACTGCTATTTATAAAATACCAACACAAATATTTTTGATTACTCCCAGTGTCTTAACAAGGCTATTTAATTTCTAACGTACCATTTGCTGACAGTAAATCTGTGTAGCTCGAATTGCCAACGTGTGGTTCACCTCAAAGAAATGATTGAGCTCCACCCTGGCAGGGACAAATGTCCTCCTGGCTGAGGTGCTGCTGGGTACACCTGCTTGGAGCTGCTTGTTTGCCATCATGCAATTTGATCCCAGAAATGTCTTGTGCTCTACTCTTCTATTCATGTTTCCAGGGCTGTAGTTAAGCTCAGTCATTTCTGATGGAAGGACAAACCTACCTCAGAAACTGATTTATAGGCACTGATTTGATAGATAGCAATTAATAATAGTGCCATTGCAATGATTCTCAGATGGTTGTCCCTTTATTACAAAAAATAAATTGCTTTCAAATAATAAACCACCTTTTATGTTTGAGCCACAAGGACAATATAATGGTATATAGCCAGAATTGTTTTCTGTTCTTGCAGTTGAGGGAAATGGTAGGAAATTAGTACTGTCCACAAGTGAAATGTTCTTCTTTGCTAGAAATCTGGGTTTGAATCTAACAGTACATTGCCTGCATTATGTGAATATGAGCTGGAGAGGCACTGTGAATGATGTGGTGATAGAATTCTACCTCCTTTTGTTTGCTGCCATCCCATTTTTGTTTGGATTATGTGCCTTATTATAAATGTCAAGGTTTCCAAGCCACTCTCTGAGGGGTCAGCAGCTCTTTCAGAGATCTCTGCTCACCCCTTTCAGATGATCAAATCCAGCCCAGTGTGAGCCCCTCAGGGCATGAGGCCAAGGTGCTCTTGGGCAGGTTTAGAACCAGGATTGTAACTGTGACAAGCCATCACCCTCCTCCCCTGGCAGGGCATCCCCAGGGAGCTGACAGAGTCTGGCCTTCCCTCAGAGCTCAGGGGCAGTCTGGGAGACAGAAGCCAAACACAGAACGTTGTGGGTGGCCCTGGGAGGTTTGTCTAAAATCAGCAGGGCAGTTGGCACACTGCTGGGAAAACCTGGATCCTGCAGTGGAGCTGGCACTGGACATGCAAAGTGGGAGCCCCCCATGAAATCCTGCATTTACCAGCCAATAGAACATCTGTGTTCTGCTGGTTCCAGCCTGCCAAGATGGAAGAAGCCCCAAAGGGATCAGTGTAATAAAGTCAAGTCACACCCTAGAAGTGCCTCTGTGCCAGAAAGTAGCACCAAGGATCCTTAGGGTTGTGTTTTTGGTGATTCCTCATCCAATGTGCTGGCTGCCATTCCTTCCCCAGAGCTCAGGCAAGTTCACACTGTCCTTTGGTGATGAGGTTGGGTTCTTTTACCCTCAGCAGTAATAAAGGAAGGGTAAATGGTGCCCCTGTGATACCTCAGCAATCCAGCTGCCTGAGCTGACTGCAGACACCTGGACTGCTGATGGGGCCTCTCCTTTCCTCTCTTGCTCACTGTCTGTCCTTGGGACATGAGAACAGAGGGCAGGAAAGATTTATGTTGAGCCCTCAGGTCAACCATTGTGCTGCTGAATAATGGGTCCTTCTAATGGGACAGCACCCTATTTAGGTGGTCATTTTTCAGACTAAAACTGCACTTTAGGTTTATTCTTAATAATGATGCTGGTGTGTGTTGGTGCACTTTGTGTAATTGCAGAGAAACTGCAAATTCAGTAGGATTTTTTTGTAAAGCTTTGGTCTTCAGTTTTATTTTGCTGGAGTTTAATGTGTGGTGGGTCTTCCAATAAAATAAATTGCATGTCATATGCTAATTTTAGTCATCCTGTTGTTCACCATATCTGATGACTGCATGATCTTTAAGGAGTAGAATGGTTGCAAGAGGCAGCAGCATTGCAACAGTGCTTTACTACCACAACCTCACAGCACCAGGCTGTGGGTGAAATGTTACTGTGTGAGTCCAGGAACACATTCATGTTCATTTCTCTGTGCCATTCCTGGTTTAGTGTGGGTTAGAGAACATCCAGCTGCAAACAGGAAACAAGCTTTGACGTCCTGGTTTCCTCCTCACATCATTTGTGAGTCACGTTGGTCAAACTGCCAGCTCCAGAAAAGGAGCTAAAGTTCAAGGGAAACTTCTCTGCAAAATGTTGTCCTTTTTATTCAGCCCAACACAAGTCAGTAAATAGGTAAATATAGTAAGTGTAGGTGAGTTTCTTCACCTCCAAATCCCTTATTTCCTCATTTCCAAATTCCCTGTATCATTTCTCCTCAAAGTCAAGCGTTTTTTATTCTCTTTTCAACATCACTCCTGAGAGATCTATCCCTTCTTTGCTGAAGGTAAAGTCCAGCACTGGAGCTTATCTGCTGCACCCTGTGCTCTGTGTGCTCTGCCACAGTGTAAAGCATCTGATAAACTACGAGTGGAACAAGTCCTGTATCAGCTCTCCTGTCTGTGTGAGGAGTAGAAAGCCAAGGGGGGAGCTACATTTGTGTACATGACAGTACTGTTTGAATGTGCCTCCTCTTCACTCCAGACACAAACCAACAGGATAGAATTGTAACCTCTATTACTGTGTCACAGGCACTGCTTTAAAATGTATTGGTGTGATGAGTTTAACAGTCAATGCCTGCCTGTTCAAAAATAGCCTGTCCTTACAGGGGGTGGGTCACCTTCTCAATCATGAATCACTGCTCACCTTCTCAACAAATACCCAGATTTCAGGTCATAAGGCCACAGATCTAATAAACACGCAGGAAATGTTAGTAATGACAATCTCAGTCCCTTTCAAGGGTACAGGATGGACACAAGCCAGCTTTTGGCTTGCTTTGTGGCTCTTGGGCTATTAACATTTGCTCCACACAAAGATTTCGGACACGGTGAACTTTTCCCTCCAGCGCAGCTGAAGCCATTCCACAAACACCCTGTCACCCATTGGCCCAGCAGTGGCACCCTTCCCCTGCATGGGAAAGGCCCTGGCACATCATCCCACCCACAAGCTGCTTTATATAAGGCCTGGTTAGAAAAGGACTTCTTCATTTTTGCTGTTTTGACTGGATCTTCCTCCCGCTGTCTGGCAATGCCTGTGGATTTCAGTGGGACCTGGAACCTTGTCAGCAATGACAACTTTGAAGGTTATATGGTGGCCTTAGGTAGGTGAAAATACCTGATTCTGTCCTTCCTCCCTTCCCCCAATAAGGGTCTTTCTGAATTTTAGGAGTCTAAGAAGTCATTGCAGCTTTGGGAAGTTTCTCAGCCTGATCTGTAGAGAGGTTCACAGTGCTTTAATGGGGAACTAAGGGAGTTCCCAGGACTTCATGAGCTCTCTTGTACAAAGTTCCTCACAGACTGTGACAGCAGGAACCTCGTGTGCTGCCCTCTCCTCTCCTGCCTCTCCCACCTCTCCCTGCCTCTGTGACCTGTGGGAACTGGTGACCAGCACTGGCTCTTGTTGGTGATGGTACCCACAACTGGAAAGAAATCTGTTTTCTGGCTGTGTCTATACCAGGGAACCTACTTAAATTGTCTAGTTGGTATCAGGATGAAAGGGCTCTTCTCTGTCACTAATCCTGCTGTGTTATCAGCTAGAAAGAAAACAAAAAGAGAAAGGGTGCTGTCATCATGACTAATTATTCCTCAGTTAGGATACTAAGTAGTATCCTCTCAGTGTATTAATGTCTTCAAATCAAAGAGAGATTCTGTCTGTTCCTTGATGATAAACATTGTCCAGCTAAGTATATTTTTTGAAACTAAGTATAACTACCAATATTGTGAAAAAGTGTTTTCAGCATGTGATTGGGGGAACTTACTTAAAAGCAGAGGTGAAGATCCTGTTGATGATTTACAACCTGCCTTTAATTACTCCTGCTTGGTTTCCAGTATGCTGAGCAAAACAAAGCTGAAGTCATCTTGTAGGGCTAGAATGGAACACTTGTCTGCCAGGGCAAGTAGAGGGGGGGAGGTTAATGCCTGATCAGCTGAAGAACTAGGGGGTTATGGATAAGGATGTGGTTATGCCAAGTCCAGCCTTTCCCTCCATTTACATCCACCTCTAAAGAACAGATCTGTGGGTAGTTTATATTTCCACACTCTTGTTAAGGGTTAATGGGAATGGCTGTTGCCAGTGCTGAATTCAAATCCCTCTGTGCTGAAATGAACTGGTAACATGTGAAAATGTGCCTGTCAGATCCTGGCACATCTGTAATGCCAGAGTGGCACAGAGTGACTGCTGGGCCATCTGGTTCAGATCCTGGCACATCTGTAATGCCAGAGTGGCACAAAGGGACTCTGGGACCATCTGGTCCAACATGTGGTTGCTGAACACACCCTGGCAGGATCACAGCCCCAGCCTGCATGAAGTGAGAAACTTCTCGTGTTCCTATAAAATGATAGCTTCAATCTAGGTGGCAAAACTAACTAACTTAATTAATGCACAGCTCCCATTTTATTTTACCCACCCCCCTACCAGAAACACTAACTCTGAGCATGCTCTTGGGATGTAATGTGCTTCAGCTGCCTGCCTGTTCCTCTAAGGAAACATTCCCTGGAGAAGTGGAAAAGACTCTTGAGCTCAGCATCACCAGGAACATCAGGATTTTACTGAGTGATCATTAGGGTTACCAGGAACTCTTTTACAAGCATGATGGTTCATATTTGTACTTAAGAAGTGCTAATAGCAAGTGATATGTCCTGAAAACAAGCCTGAGGAATTAATTTTGGGACTGCCCTTCCTTTAGTCCTCTTTAAGGCAGAGGGTGCAGAGAGTTCTTGTTAACTCTTACATTCCCTTTCTTCCAACAAAGGATGAGATTTCACTGACTGTTCCCTCTAACTAAGCAAGGGGTAAGTCTGAGACCTTAAGCTTGAGGTGTTTGTGAGTGGCAAACCAGCTCCTAAAAGGAGTATTTTGACCCAAAGTCCTGTAAATCTTGCATAGGAATTGGGCAACAAGTAAACTGGTTTCCAGAGAGTAAAATGTCCAAGAGGACGACTAAATCTGTGTAATGCACAGCTTTGAGCAAAACCAAAGGTTCTGAGCAAGCAACAAAACGACCTAAGAAATGCTTCTGGTAGGGAGTCAGGTTAAGTGTTGGCTGCCCAAATGGCTGGTAAGAAACACAGCTCTGACCTTCTTGCCTCCTGTCCAAGGTATTGACTTTGCAACTCGCAAAATAGCCAAAGTGCTGAAGCCTCAGAAGGTGATCAAACAGGATGGGGATTCATTCTACATCCACACCACCAGCACGTTCCGGGATTATCTGCTGGAGTTCAAAGTTGGACAAGAGTTTGAAGAGGATAATAAAGGCTTGGATAACAGAAAATGCAAGGTAAGGATGCATCTATAAAATCAAGAGGCTATTACAAAATGGTCAATCCAGATACTTGAGCTGAAATTGTTTCAAGAATAATATTTGTAATGCAATACAGAGGTAGGAGCCTGAGTTACAGCCAAGGAGTTGCATTTTCACTCAGGAGCAGAATTTAGGTCCTCTGTTATGCAGGAAAATAGACATTGTCTGCAAGTATTTTGCAAAAGTGGGACAGACATGCAGAAACAGTTTTTTGTTCCCTGTTCCACAGAGCCTGGTTACCTGGGAAAATGACAAACTTGTCTGTGTCCAGACTGGAGAGAAGAAGAACAGGGGTTGGACTCACTGGCTGGAAGGAGATGACCTCCACCTGGTATTGACTTCAAATTCCTACTAATTCTGTGTCTATACGACTAAAATAAGATCTATAACGTGGTCGTGGTGTGCACAAGTCTTCTAACTCTGTGGTGTTTGTAATGGATGACACATGGCAAGCACATTCTGCTTTGAAACAGCTTCACTGTAATGTCAAGCAGAAATTATTAGCATGGCCAGAGTGGAGTCAAAGAACTGATGTTCATTTTTGGAAGCAGCTCCTTTTCACATCTATAATCTTGTTTCTTTGGGTTTTGTGTTTTTTTTTTTTTGGTAGGAGCTTCGCTGTGAGAACCAAGTGTGCAGACAGGTCTTCAAGAGAGCTTGAAGCTGTGAGTTGTGCTGGCTCCTCCCTGCAGAGACAGCTCCACCCAGGAGGCCACACTCCCTCGTGTCCAGGGCTGGCTCTGCACACCAGACCCGATCCCTTGTCCCTGTTAACCTGAACGGTCTGATGTTTCTGGCTCAGGAAATAAGTCTGCTCTTGCCAGTGTTAAAGATCTGATTTTTGCTAATAAATGCCCCAAACCAAACTAATCTCAAGTACTTTATTTCTGAATGTGTTTCTGTAGGAAGAAGTCCAACCTAAACTGAGTGATGTGGCCTGGGTCTCTGGTGAACTGAGAGTTTAGTTAACCAAGAGAACCTGCCCATTCTGAAGGGGCATGTCAACATCAAACACATGGGGGGAATGACAGAGAAAGGAAGATAAACAATGAAGCAAACAACAAAGAATACAGATTTATTGTTCAAGATGCAGAGTAGTAGTTGACTCACTTGCCTGTGCCTTACCTGTGCAGGGTGAGGTCCCACACTGTGCCACAGCTGCTCCATTCTCCACAGCTGAGCTGGCCAGAGGAAACCAGCCTGGCCTCAAATCCCAGAGCAACCAAGATGGGGCTGAGCAATCCACGGAGACTCCAGTCTGCAAAACAAGTGAACCCTGTAAGCACATACACACAGTGAAAACAATGCTCCTTTAGTTCAGATTATTTTGCACCCAGCTGTTCAGTTAGGTAAAATGTGGGTTTTATGCAATATTACAGAGGGTCATGGAGCAGCAGGTTTTCTTCTGCCTTGTGTGAACACAGGGAAGTGTGAGTTCAACTGGGCAGTTACAGGTGAAATGAGTTGGTGCACCTTGTTGGTAACACTAACAGTGTGTCAGGGGTGGACAAAGAGTTTTAACTCTAGCTTTAGTCTTAGCAACTTAATTACTTCACATGACAAGATAATCCCTGACACTTTGAAATGTGAGTAGCACCACTTTTCTGATACTTCCTATCAGTTCTGAAGGCTTAAAGAAAGCCACCACCAAAGTCACACAAAATCTGCTGAAGCCTGTAAGGAGTTTAGTTTGATTGACCCCCCTATAATTACCAAAGACCCATGTAAATGGAAGCTGGTTTCCAAAATAAGAAGAAAAGAACTTCACACAGTTAAGGAAATGTGGGGATCAGCAGTAAATGCCTGGTGTTTATTTTATGGATCCTGACAGTGTCTTCCTTCTGGAACTGAGTAGCTTTCCATTAGTTTGAAAACAAACTTGTTGTTACAGTGTTATTGGAATAGAAATAACAAATCCAGACAGCAGCCCTGCCTGCTCACATCTGTCAAGGAAATGCAGCAGCAGCCACGCGGAGCTCCACTGGATGGCGCTTCTGCAACGTGCTGGACCTACGTTTAACTCGTAAACCTTTTAAGTGTTAAACTTTGCAGACCTTCTCAAACAAACCCCACAGCCTTCAAGCTGTGCCTTCCAGTAAAAGCCGTGGGAGAAGCAACTCAGGAAGGCAACTATGACCTGAACCCTGCTGGCTCAGAGAGAGGCTCCAAGCAGAAATCAGAAAAAGGCAGCCTTAGAAACCTGCATGACTGGAAGTGTAATAACCCCTTAATGAGGCTGCTGTTAGGAAGCCCTTCCTGATAAAAATAGAGGAGCTTTTATCAGCAGAGTGATGTTATTTTTATTGCTGCCTTCCTATTTTAAATTGCTGGTCTGGAAGCAGGTAATGCCATGCAGAACCTGCTTGGGGATGCTCTGGAGATCTTAGGGCTGAGAGAAGCTCCTACAGTGACAGAACTGCTTATTCTGATTTCACTTCTGTGCAAACCAATCCACAGGCTTTCATAAAACACAAATTAAACACCTTGAAATTCGTGGTGCAAAAAAAAGGAAGGGAGCAGACACATGTTCTGAAAGTGGGGGCACATAAAGGCATTTAAGATTGCCTTTGACAAAAAGACATGAACCTGAATTATAGAACTCCCCAGAGAAGCACTTGAAGGGTTTTATTCAAAGCTGTTTCAGACTACTTCAATTTTCTTAAAAAAAAAAAAAAATTCCAAGAAGGTAAACACAAAATAAAGTGTAATCTAAAAATCAAAGGTAACAATACACATTTGTTCTATAGAAAGATGAACGATATATCTTATGATCCAATTATTTACAAGGTTCTTTGTTTCCTTTCTGAGCGCCTCAGTGAAGTCATCAAAAACAGTTTGTGCCAAAAATTCAGATCAATACATTAAAAATGTACGTAAAAACACAAGACCAAATATCCCACCTGCCTCACATCCCCCTTTCAAAGCTTGGATCAATTTTATTGCTATGTAAGTGTTTGCAGTGTGTATGAAACTATGTCCTCATTGCTCATAGAGACCAGCTTAATTCCCTTTTAAGAACATCCTGTTGTCCAGCTTTTATGGGATTCTTTCCCTCCCTGACTCAACTCCGCTGCCCTCTTTAGATCTCATTATTAGTGACTGCTCATCCTGGGCTAAAAACCTGCTGATGCAGCTCTCAATTTGTTTATCCCCTTCCAAATCGCAGCTCCAAAAAATCCTGTTCCCTTTTGCCTGTGTATAACTGATCAAACAAGCCAAGCTGGGTGGTGACCCTCCAATGCACTTACAGCTAATCTGTCTGGTTTGCTCGAGGGGAAAAGATGAATACCTTTCACAACGGTACCTTTTTGTGGTGTAGTGAAAAAACCAGGTGCAGAAAAGTTGGCAATAAAGAAAAAAAATACTTCAGGTTCAAACTTCATTTAGGAAAAGCGAAGGGGTCAGTGTTCAGTAGGGTCTTAGTGCCTTGGTTTTCCGTCGATATGTTACACAGACTGCAGTAAATAGATAAAAATCTTGGGGATTCTCACTCCTTCGTCAGTGGGAAGGGATTAACATGTACGGACTCACCGGAGCGGGGAAGGCTTCACAGCTTCACCCTGCTCGGACCGCGGCGACCCTGAGGGGCTGCGACCGACCCCGGGCAGGCGGCGACGCCTCAGGGCGCTGCTCCGTCCTTCCCGCCCTTCTTCTCTCCCCTCACGGACACCGAGCCCGCCTTCCCCGGACCCCTCACGGATCCTGAGCCCGCCTTCCCCGGACCCCTCACGGATCCTGAGCCCGCCTTCCCCCGATCCCTCACGGACCCCGAGCCCGCCTTCCCCGGACCCCTCACGGATCCTGAGCCCGCCTTCCCCCGATCCCTCACGGACCCCGAGCCTGCCTTCCTTAGACCTTTCACGGACCCTGAACCCGCCTTCCCCGGACCCCTCACGGACCCCGAGCCCACCTTCTCCGGATCTCTCACGGATCCTGAGCCCGCTTTCCTTAGACCACTCACGGAACCCCGAGCCTGCCTTCCCCGAATCCCTCACGAATCCTGAGACCGCCTTCCCCGGATCCCTCATGGATCCTGAGCCCGCCTTCCTTAGACCCTTCATGGACCTCTGAGCCCGCCTTCCTTAGACCTTTCACGGACCCCTGAGCCCGCCTTCCCCAGATCCCTCACGGATCCTGAGCCTGCCTTCCTTAGACCCTTCATGGACCCCCAAGCCCCCCTTCCTTAGACCTTTCACGGACCTCTGAGCCCGCCTTTCCCGGACCCCTCAGGAACCCCTGGCTCCTCCCACCATTCTCCCTCCCCTCACGGACCCCCCGCCCCTCCTCTCTGGCCCCGCCCCCGCCCCCTCGGCTCGCCTCCATTGGCCGGCGCGGCGCGCGCGCGGCCCGGGGCGCGGCCCCGCCCTCTCTGTGCGGCGGGTCACGTGATCCCGCCCCCAAGATGGCCGCGGCCGCCCTGTTGTTTTGATGAATAATCCCTGCGCGGGGCAGCGGCCGCGGGCGGGCGGGGGCCAGGGCTCAGGGGCTGAGGGGGCGTGTGAGGGGCACCTCGGACGGGCGGCTCCCCTCGGCCGCGGCGGCAGCGGAGGCGCGGGCGGGCGGCGGGGCCGGGGCGGCGGTGGGTTCGGCCGGCGGCGGTCGCCCCGGAGATGCCCTTGTGAGGCGGCCCGGGGGCAGCGGCGGCGGCGGAGCGCGGGCTCGGAGCGGCCCCGCGGCGGGGAGGAGGATCGCGCCCTCCCTCCGGGCACCATTAAGAGGAAGGCGATGGAGGAGCTGAGCGCGGACGAGGCGAGTGCGCGGGGCCGGGGCCTGAGGGGCGGGCGGGCCCCGGGAGGGGCGCCGGGCAGGGCCGGGCCCTGTGCGGACCCTGAGGGGGCGCTGGGCTGGGGAGGGGGCGATCCTGGGGAGTTCTGTTTTCCCCCTGCCCTTCCCCGGCGTTTTCTCCGTCCCCTGTCTCTGATCTGCCCCTGCCCCGCGGCCCCCCGGCTCGGCCCTGGGGTTGGTGGCTGCTCTCCTGGTTAATTGTTTATTTTGCGCTCCCATCTGCCAGGTGGCCTTTGTGTGCAGCGTGTCCCCTCGCTGTGCCCGGCGCTGGGCGTTCGTGTGTTGTCTCTGTGATCTAAAACACCCAGCCTTTCAGCCCTGCTAACACACTTCACGTCTCGCCTCTCAGGCTCTTTGCTGAGGAGCGAAATGGGCGTGTTTGTGGCCCTATATTTAATGTCGCTTCTTCTGGAAGCAGGCTGGTCAGTCTTCCAGTGCTTCCTTTCATTGCCTTTTCTCTGTTTATTCGACCTCTTGCTCTTTTCACTGAAGCCTTGTGGTGTTGGGTTGTAGTGGATAAACCTGTGCCAGGGAATAACCTGAACTCTTTCTTGGTTCTTCCTTTTAAAGGGTGGTGTTTCCTTTTTGTTTTGTCTTTTTTTTAATATAGGCTGAGATTTTATGTTTTGCTCCTATGCTACAGGACTTCCAAATGGATCCTGTCCTGGTACTGATCAGGATGTAAAGAATTTCTCAATGTCCGAAATCATGGAAAACTTGAAATCTCTCCTAACTTCGCAATAATAATTTCATATTAATGTGTGTTGCATGCATATAGAATATATTGTGTTGGACCAGCTGCAGTGCAGCCTCAGTGCTGTTCTTGTATTCCAGGGAGGATCAGAAGCTGTTATTTTTGTTGATTTAGTGGGACTGTGGAGCAGTGGCTGCTGGTGCCCCTCAGGTTTGCATTCCATGAGGTTCAGAGGTTTGGGATCACGCTGTGTATGGTGATTTAGCAATCCTGCTGTGTTGCATCACCGTGTAGGAGAAAATCCTTAGTGCTGTTTACTTCATGGACATCCTCATACTCCACGAGAGGAGCACAATTCCCACCTTGGGAAGA